CAGGACAACGTGCTCTGAAAGATAAAGGCAAGGGAAAAGTCTAGTTGTTGATATTAGTTTGTTATGCATATGTATTAGAGATATATTTTAATAGTCCATGTTTTGTAATAATACTACTTTTAGTATTATAAGAATGATGATGTGAATTATAAGTATTTTGAATATGAGGGTTGTTACAATAACCCTACATAAAAATCCTTTTATCATTCAATGCAAATTTTACTATTTATTTGTAACATATGAAATTTGTATTTCTATTATATGTTCATCAAATATTTTATAAACTTATCTTTTTCTTTTTTTTTCTGATTAACCTGGATATCTAACTCGCTATACAAGCCGACTAATCCCAGGACGACCACCTACTTTGTATATAGCCCGAAGTCACCGCATTTGAATCTCCATGGCCACAAAGAGATTTTTATTCTTCCTTAGATTTGAACCTATGACCTCCTGATACTTTTGACCTTTAGAGCCAAACTCAAATCAATCAGGCACCACCCTTGTGGTTTATAAACTTATCTTTTGCAACATCAAAAATTTACTAAAGTATTAATGTTAAATTTATAGTTTAATTGAAACTAATGATATAATAAATAAAACTTATAGAAATATTAGATAATTAAAATGTAATTTTACAATTTTATATAACTAAAATTTCATTTAATATATTTATATTTAAAAACGAAAAGTCTTTTGTGTCTATTTAACAACACGATACTATCAAGAATGGCTAAACAAATCAGGCCAAATAAAGCACGTCTGATGCCTTGTCCTTAGGAATTTCTCGTTGAAAACCAACGATTGTAATGATCTATACCCTGTTGGGTTGTGATAGATTTCGGTAACCAAAACATTAACAACAGAAGCAAACAAAATCAAAAATCACAAAATTCCAGATATCTGGTTACAATCCGATACAAGTAACAAAACAAACATAGAGGATGATCAGAAATACCTTTTAGATGGAAGTGAAGAACTCAATAGCAGAATTCTCTCTATCGTGTTCACACCCCAAATCTTCAATTGTTAATAAACAACAAGAAATCACCTTTTTCTTTTCGTGCAATCCCAAAAAAAACACCACACTTATTGATAATATGTGTGTGCTTTGTAATTTCTGGCCACACCCTTAAGGAGAGGGTGTGAGTGCCGTTTTCTAGAAAAGAGGAGAGAAGGAGCTCAAAAGTAATTAGGTTTAGGATTTAGGAATAAACATTTTTTTATAAGACCTAATCCAACTAAAACCTAATTAGATTAAGGCCCAATCTTAATTAAGCCCCAATAGGTTTAGGGGTTGTTTGTTTTTAATAAAAATACTTTTAATGTCCTCTTAAGTCTGAATCGGTCAAACATAAGAGGATTCAGTGTGTTTGTTTTTTTTTTTTCCAATTAAGAGCTTAAAAGCTCTTATTAGGTCTGAAAATTTAAGTGGTTGCGAAACCTCTTATTATCTCTTATTTCAAATTGTCGCCTACCTACTCTGATCTCTTTGCGCTCGATTTCTCTAGATCAACTCTTCTGTCTCGATCTCTTATCTCTCAACTTTGTCAACTGTCGATCCATATCAACTCTCGATCTCTCATCTTCAAACTTTAGATTTCAGACGCAAAAAACAAACAGTCTAACTGATTCAGATTTCATACTTCAGCACCACCTCTTAAAAATCAGAAGTGAATTCAGACTTCAGCACCTCTTAAAAAACAAACGCCACCTTAGATTAAAACCCAATCTTAATTAAGCCCAAATAGGTTTAGACTAAAAACCAATTAGTTCATCTAATAATTAATTAACACTTTAAATTAATTATCCATTAAACTCTTAAATATTATTTTCTTGCTTTTACATTGATAAAACTTTGTGTCCGAGCATTTTAACTATATTATTATTTTGTCATGTCTCCAGGCATATCTCCAACATACTTATAAAATTTTAAAGATTTCCTTTTTCTTAATTTTATTTTATAAATTTATATAATTTTGAAAGTACCACACATATTTGATACAACGTCAACAAAATATATTTTTTTAACCAAAAATTACTTTTTATTAATTTTAATACAGATTTTAAAAGGCAAAAAGAATACCAAACCAGAATTCTTATACAAAAGGGGAGCACTTTTTGCTGCAATTGCATCAACAACAATTACCGCAGTGGACGGCCCAAGTCTCACTCTCGTTGCTCCGTCGCCGTTCTCCTTCTCGTCTGCTCGTCGCCGGCTCGTTGCCACCGTCGCTGTCTTGCCTCTATTTCTTCAAGGTTTGGTTACAAAGGTATTTTCTTCCTAATCCATGGTAAATAACATCCATTTGTTCAAGCTTCGGTGCAAGTATCATAGAATCTATAAGCACCACGAATTTGTTGGGATCTGGAAAAAATGGTTTTCGCAAATTGTCTGTTTGAACTCGTATTCTTGACGACAAAAATACCTAAATCCCATAAATGACATTTATCTGCCAAGTAAAAGCAAAATTAGTATCATATCAGGATTTAGGAAACCCTAAAATAATAGCAAATCTACGACATTGCTGGCAAGTGGACAGCACAAATCACGGCCAGGAGCGAGTAATAGCTTTAATGGTCACTTAAAAAGAGAAAACATTGTTATTGGCATCACAACTAACTTTAGACCAAATGCAAGGATTAACTTGATTCTGGTTCCGGTCTCTGAGCTGATCAGGTAACTTTAGACCAAATGCAAGGATTACCATTTAGTCAAACATTAATATCATGTCTAATCATTATACCTTTGTGAATTAGTCATTTGCTCTGGTTGACAGAATTTGTAGAAATCATGTCATCATCTGTGTCACTTTGTTGTAGTTTTTTTCATTTCTGTATGACTGTATGAAAACCTTTTACCACATTATCTTAATTTTAGTTTGTTTTGTGAATTTTGTAGCTAAGGACTGTAATCATTTCATCATTTGATAGTACTTGTTGATATATTGAGGGTTTACATGGATTTGTTCATGTGTATTGCTTCCCTTAGGATTTGGTTAATTGAATTAGAGAATAGATTTTCACAAAGTAGAACTTTGGGCCTAAGGATATTCACTAGATTTCAAATTAGATCACCATAATTCAATAAAAATACAGCGTATCCCATGTTAAAGTGATTCTCATTGTATAAACGAGTTGCTAATGGATAGAAATGCTTTAGCAGTTTCGTTTGAGTTGCTAAAACTCGTGGTGGGTTATTAGATGATGGCAATGTGACCCATTAAGTTCATAATAGATACGTGAGTTTTGACCTAACCAAATAAAATTCGTGATAGGTATATTTGTTTTAAATTTAGGTTTTTTTGGACAACAAACTAGATACACACATCCACTCACAAATCCATGTCTCCAATGAGACCTACTAGGGGTTAGGATGTTTAATTGGCACCTTCACTGACATTGGGACAAAGGCCTTCAGATTGTTTTGAATATATGTTGATATCGATATTCTTCATAAGTTCTCTCTTGCTTACAATATGAATAGGAACTCATGAATTTGATGCAAATGAGAATGGGGTTGCAATTTGGACCATGTGGCTATGTGTCTGTGGTCTGCCAAATAATGATGAGAACCAAGACCTTAATAGCCTTGGGGTTAGAAGTTTGATCAAGTTGTGCATGACAGTTTCAAGGTCGTGTCGATAAAAAGCCAAAAAAAGACGATGAGGCCTTTTTTGCAACAAATTTATCATAAGCTAACCAAATTTGGTTTTCATAATGAGTTCTTAATTTTAAGGCAAATCATAGTTAACAATTTAAATATTAACTCCATTTTTCAACCCTATTATTACATAATTAGAGTTCTAAATTCAAATCGGAGGTTTCAAAACAAATTGTTTGATAAATCCTAATAGAAGTCTCCGATCGAAAATTTCATAAATGTAAAGTCAATGTGGAATAATAAATCAATAGAGGGCTACATGGTAGTTAAAAAATAGTGGTCGAGGAATAGTGAGGTCTCTGCTATCGGAGAAGATAGCACCTCGCCGGAAAAGGGATCACTAAAGTAGCCATCGTGAAGAGGGAGATAAGAGTGATAAATCTTTATTTCTCTAATTCTATGATAATTAAAATATACATTTGGTGCTTAAGGAAAGTGTCCCAATTCAATGTTGGAGTAAGAAAGTTAAAGATTTGAAGTTTTGAACTAAACGGGCTTCATTCCCAATGAAAACCTTAGAGTTCCACAAGACATTACCTTAATTTACAAAGTTCAATTTGAAGGAGAACATATCAGTAAGGGCCATTGAATTTTACATGCGAGAAGAAGATTTAAGAATGGTCAAAAGATTGAGATCGAGATTTGTTGGCTATGCTGCACTTCACCTATAGAGATGAAGTTATAGAAGATGAGTTGGCGGTTTCTACTTCATCTTGTGAATCCTATGTTTCCGATGCATTATTGGACAAGTTGTTGTTTGATGCTCATGAGTATGATTTACTCTTATGGATGTGTGAATCTTATCTCTGTAAGTGTGTATCTAAGCTCTGTTGGCGACTTCTAGCATTGGCAGATAGTTATCATGCTATAGAACTAAAAGATGTTTGCCTTGGATTCACTTTAGATAACCCAAACCCTTGGAGCTTTCATGCGGTCAGATGGTTTTCTTAAGCAAATGCAAGGCAAACATCTTTTAGTTTTGTAGCACTAGAACTAACGGCTGGTGCTAGAGTTCGGCCAATGAAGCTTACAAACATCTCTTTGTAGAGATGAGACTCACATATCCATTTGAGCATGCACAAATTATACCGATTGGCAACAACAAACAACTAGGCTATTAATGTATCAGAGACATAAGATTCAGAAGATGAAGTAGAAATTGCCAAAACCTCTTTCAGAAGTTCTTTTTTTGCATAGTGTGTTGCACATTAACTAACCTTAGAAACAAATTGTGCTATAATTTTTATTTTTTCCTATTCAAACTAGATTGGTTTTAACTAAACAAGTATAATATAACAACATTAGTAACAATCTCGTGCAAACTAAAATCACCTTAAAAACGTTAGTTTTCATAGCGATGACAATCTCATGATCACCTCCGTCTTGTTCAGACCTACAAACATTTGGATCTAGTAGCCAACACCTACTTATGGGCATGAAATTGGTCTTCAGTCATTTTGAAGTTAATGTCGGAACCTACCATGTCTTCTAGCAACATCCCTGAATTTGATCTAATTTCAGGTTTTGAGATCCGAATTGAATGCATCTTAGGGAAATATGTTGCAAAAACCACCACTCTCACAACACAATGAATCTTTAAATAGTCTTCTATAAGATCCATAAGATAATTTGAAGTTTCAAGCAATGCTCGCCTATAAAAATGCGAGTATCCATTGACCATGAACGTCTAAAACGGAAAGCTGAATTAAAATAATGAACATTTATGAACTTTGTACAAAATTCCAACATAATTACTAAAAGAACTTGTTAAAATCATTTCTCGTCGGGATTCGGACCATCCGGTAAGGAAATGATTTGTAACCACATCTTTTAAGTAATATGCCGTGGTGCATTTATGTACAAAGCTTATAAATATTTGTTGTACTATTCATTTACATTGGAATCCACCTTTCCATTTTTGGCGTTACTCGCTTTTGTATAGATCATTGTTTGAAACTTGTATTTATCTTATGGATGACTGTTTGAAGATCTGTTGCACCGTGGTCATGATGTTTTCTATAACATATTTCTCCAGGGTGCATTGAATTCGGGACACAAGGCCTGAAATTGGATCAACTTTTGATATGTTGCGATATGGTAGGTTTTGACATTATCTTCAACATGGTCTAAGACAAATATCACACCCATAAGTTGGTGTTGGCTGCCAGATCCCCCGTCCTTCAGTCTGGATTATATAAACAAGAAGGAGGTGACCATGGGAGGTCATCATTGATATGAAGCTAAGTTCTTTAAGGTAATTTTTTATTCTGTAGATTGCTACTAATGTTGCTAAATTGTAGTTATGACAGCTTTAGAAATTTCCGAGGACATGACTTTTGATAGGAGTTCTTGGGAGGCATAGGACTAGAGGGTGTCGCTGAGGGTAGATAGTAGGAAAATAGGATCCCTGTTTGGGATAGCAGGGCCTTCTGAAAGGATCTTTGTCTTTCGTACCGGTCATACCTACATGTTTAAGTTGCTATTTACATTAGTTCTGCTTGTATTACATGTTTTACCTTACTACTTTGTCTGCTTGTACACCTTTGAATAGTTCACAATGGAATCGTTAGTTTGCTTGTATAGTTCCTGATTAACGATTTTATTACCTATCTTATTGCTTGCTTGCACACACCTTGCGGTTGTGCGCAAGCTGGAGATGTTCACGGGAACAACCTCTCAATCCTAGTGGTTGGTGTAAGGTTTGCGTACATCCTACCCTTATCTGATAGTACTCTCGAGTGGGATATAGAGGTTCCTTTGGTTTGGTTATAGGCCAATAATAATTGCACTCATCTTGTAATTTGCTAAACCTGCTGGCCTATTTTGATAAACATGTTAAGGGGGCATACAACTGCATTCAATTTAACATGTAGTTTGTGATACTGTTCTTTATTTCATTGGGGGGATCTTTTCCTGACTAGAGCAGATTTGTTCAATTTTCAAGTATTTCTTAATGCGGATCCCTTACATAGATCTTGGCAGTCATGCTTATTAATTCTTTTTCTAACTTGCTGTAAGTTTCATTATGCTTATTAGTTCCTTTTCTTGTTTGCAGTAACTTCCAGTTGAGGATTCACCTAAGAAATGGGAGAAGTGGTAATCATTTGCATTCTTTTAGCACTCTTTGTGTTGTTATTTATTAAATGATTTTATATATCATTTTTTTGCATCAGCATAGCATGATTGAAGTGTTTCTTTGATGATCTCTTAATGTTTATTGAGCTGTGAACTTAGCAAAAAGTTTTAATAACATGAATTTCTCTATAAAATGGGAATTGTGTCCTAATGACAAGATTGATTAATCAGAAAACACTTAATAAGTTCATCTAATTTTCAATTGAAGAATTTACACCTTTTGTTGGAATAGCGAGTAGAAGATTTTCCCATGGAATGGCTGAACTAGATTCCTCCTTTGGGATGAATCAATTTCTGTGGTTTTTTTTTCCAAATAAACAACCACTTGCATAATCCAGCAAAAACTGAAATGTCATTGAGCTGAATGGTGAATGCCAAAGAAGAGGAAAAAATGCAAGGAGGATTGAACAGGATAGGCATCACAGCTCATGCCTATGATCATCAGAGAAAGTACTTGTGTCTATGTTGGATGAAATTTGGAGACAAGTGCTTTATGATTGAACGGAAAATAGAGAGAGCAATAGATGAAATACAAACATGTGACAATACAGAAATGCTGGGAATAAGTGAGGATGGTTGATTTGCTCCAATAACATTACTTGGTCCATATGCGATTTTATGGCACCACTTAATCTTCGTGCTTTTGTTGTATCTGAATAAATTTAATCAGTACATTAGAACCCTTCTATGAGCACCAATAGTTGGGTACTAAATATGGAGGCTGATTGAGTGATTTGTGATCGGAAAATGAGGTATGCGCATTAGGGGACAATGTCTTTGCATGTTAAGGTGCTACAGTTCTAGAGTTAAATATCACAAGAGCAATGTCTGTTAATGCTACTTATATTGTTGTTTCCCTTCACTTATCTATCCATGATAACCTGCCTTACTCTGTTATGGCGCTAATAGAGGTGCTAGACACATGATCCCATTTAGAGACAAGGTGATACACATGGAGATATTGAGAAACAGTGGGCATGTGTGTTCGCATGATTTTGTAATTTGCATTTCTTGGAACATTTTGTGTTGTATTGAACAAGGTTTTAAAAAGCGAAATCGGGACTCGAGGCGTTTTACTTCCACGCCCTGAGGCGTAATTCTCAAGGCGGTTTGAGGTGCAAGCCTCGAGGCGTAAGACAAATAAAATTCATAAATACTAATACTAAGCAAAACATAATTCCATACCAAACTTTAAACGTCATAGCTTCATAAAATACTAGTTATAAGTCTAAAAACATATCAATCTACAACTTATGATCAAGTTGTATAGCTCCACAGTCGTATCCATAATCACTATCACTTTCATCTTCCAAATCCACATAAAATAGAAAAATAATAAGAAAATAATATAGAAAACAGAAAACAGAAAGTAAAAAAATACAGAAAACAGAAAAACAGAAAATATAAAAAAAATACATACATAACACATTATACATGTAGAAAATACATTAATTTCAGTGGAGAAGAAAGGAGGGAAAAGTCGGAAATGGAGAAGAAAAGAATGGGGGTTGGAGATGTATTCTTGGTGGAGAAGAAAGGAGGAGAAGAAAATCTGAGAAGAAAGTAGGAGGAGAAGACGAAAGTAGGATTAGGAAATGGAAAGGTAACATTTGTTTTTGATTGATAAGATAAAAGTACATCCTATAAAAGGCTTCTTTGTAAATTATAAAAGTACAATTGAGTGTTTTGACTTTACTTAAAAAAACACAAGTAATTTCAGGCACCTATTTTCAACGAATCATGGCAGCAGCAAACTGAGGCATGGCCTCAGAAACACCTCACGCCTCAACGCCTCAAGGCACTGCCTCACCAGTTGAGGCTTAAGCCTCTTCCAGAAACCATGAGGCGCCGCCTAATGAGCGGTTTTGGCCGCCTCGCCTCAAGGCAAAAACCATGGTATGGAAGGTCTGATTTTGGTCACATCTGCTGATGCCTATGCACAAAATTTATTTTTTAGAACTCATTCTTAACATGCCTCTACTTATTTTCTATTAGATTTTGTTTACTTGATGCATCTGAAAATGCAGTAATTTTGCCTCTAACAAAAGGGCCTTTGCTCTAGTAGTACAGTGTAAACCAAACTTCTTAGAGGTTAAGGGTTCAAGCCTCGCCAAAGGCGAGGAGTGTGTGTGAGTTCACTTTGCTGTAAATAATACTTAAAAAATTGCCATTATTTTGGTTGTTCTAACCTCTGCTTATATTTGTGGTTAACAGAACTTTATGCAGGAGGATGATATACATTTAGAGACTACAAGGGCCAGATGTACATCATATACTTTTTTTTTGTTTGCATCAAGTTACTCTTTGTTACGACTTCACGAATTACAATTGATTTGTTTGGCAGTTTCAAGCGTCCTCAAAAGGCATGCGGAACTAACTGAGCGCCTTTCAAGGTACTAACTCTCAGAAATGCTGAATACTAGTTTAAGGCAGTTATTGTTTGACCTTGACTTCCAAAGTTTATAACATGATCTAGTGTAATTTGTTGCTTTATAATCTTATCTAGTGGGGCTCAAAGGTCTTTCCATGTTATTTTCAAGAATTGGTGAGTCGGTAGTTGTTCTTAATGACTTTATGTATTTTCCACTAAACAATTTAAATATTTGCATTAATTCATTATTTTTCTATTTGAAGTTTTCTCTATTATGCCAATAACTATTCTGTTTGCATGGGGGGAGGGATGGGGTTGTTTGGTGGTGGGGTGGCCAATCATTTCAAGAAGATCTTTGTATCATTGGATGCACTTATTCTAGTGGCTGTCAGATGGAAGAAAGGAGGAGGGGTATACTTGTAATACTGTTGATGTTATTATCTATCTTCATTTTAAATTTGAACATTGACATGAAACAATTGGACATAACAGATCCTAATTCTTTTGACAGCCTCTCTACCCATTGGGTAGAGGTAAGGTCTGCTTACATCTGAATTCTCAACCCCCCGCCCCCCGGGTGGACCTTACTTCTGAAGGATATACAAGGGTCCATTTGGGTTTGGTTTGTTTTGGTTTAGATTCTGATGCCCTGGAGCACTTCACCCATGGAGTGCTATTGTTTGGGTTTAATGTGTTGCATACAACCAAAATTTAGACTATATTGCTGGATCCAATTTTAGATGTTTCCTGTCTAGAGAGCAGAACTTTCTTTTATCAATAGTACATCACGAAGTGCATATATATCATTTGCATGATAACCAATGTGGACTTCTTTTTGCTGCTCATAATAAGCATCCATGTAATGCGTGGGAGTCATCATCCTTTGTGATTGTATTTTTCAAACATGATAGGAGTTATATCATAATGCTAGTGGCAGTGTGGCATTCAATTTCATGTTTATTTAAAACCATACAATAATGATGGGACAAAAGAGTTAATAAAGACCCAAGATCAAGGCTTGGTGAATATGCTTAACACATAATTTATTGATAGTTAGGACAAAAAGTCACATGGATAACGTCTTCAAAAGTTATGTGTGATAAAGTTCTTTCTCTTTTCAAGTTTTTCACACAAGTCTTATACTAATTTCGTAGTTGTCACCAACTTGTAATGATCAAAACCCTCATCGAAAAATCAAGCTTTTAAGAAGAGCATATATGCAATACCTGTCAAGAACTTGAAAGAAGTTTTCTGAAACTTAGGATGTATCACATTATGGAAGCTACACCAACATTTTCTTGGTATGCCTAAAAGATTACACTGCAATGATAGAGAGTAGGTTTTTGTGGAAGCTCATTCATACTAGTTTAATGTCAATTTAAAACATTATCTAGTGGTGGCCTCTAAAGGTCTTTCCGCTTCATTATTTGGAAAAGTTGATGGGTCAGTAATTGTTGTTAGTGTGTTCATTTACTTTCCACCAAACAACATGAATATCTGCATTGATTTAGCTCTTTTTCTATTTGCAATTTTCTCTATGATACCAATAAGTCATTCGTTTTGCACAGTGGAGGGGTGGGCTCGTTTGGTATTGGGATGGTCAAATGATGTCAAGGATCTCTGTTTCATTGGTTGCACTTATGCTAATGTCTATCAGATAGGGGTGCAATTCGGTTATTATTGATCTTATTCTCTTAAGTTCGTTTAAGTTTGAACTTCAGAGATGAAACAGTTGGAAATAACAAACTCAGATTCCGTACTAGAATTCTTAGTTCTGGATTAAATTGTCACATACAACCAAATTAAATGCATATATATAGAAGTGAGACTATAGATCTTCACTAGATCCCTGTATCCAGTTTTGGACGCATTGTAGGTTGTTGGTTTTTACCTGTCCGCAGACCAGTACTTGTTTTTGATCAATCGTACAACTATCATTTGCATAATAACCATTGACTGACTATCTTGCTGCTCGATAAGCATGCTCTTCATGTGATGCCTGGGAATTTGCTTCAACTTAAGTAGTATAGGTCCTATAGGACTTCTGTGTCATCATACATGATACCCAATCTTAAACTATTTCCTGTAATATTGTTGGAGGTCCGATTTCATTTTCACAAGAAAAATTTGAAACATTTAAACTAAAAGATAAGGTCCCATAGTCTCTTGAACCTGCCATGGGAGCTTTGGAATTAGGGCAGAGAAGCTGAACTTACTGTATCTTTTTGTTGCTATTGTTCCATTTTCTCCTCTATTTCAATTGTTTGTTCTTATGGAAAAGGGCATGGTAACTTTTACAGGTGCATGACCTAACATTTATTTATTCTAGCATATGAAATAATATCAAAATCATTTTAAACTTCTGTGATCCAATAAATAAAGTGCAAGTAGTGCAGATCCAATACTTGATCCAAAAAATTGAATACCACTATTCAAAGAATAAAGCCATCTTTAGAACTTTTATATCCCTTTCAGTGCGCAGTCCTTCATGCTCGGGTCTATTCCTTGTGATACAGTAGCTATGAAGCTTATACCTGAAATCATTTTGCTATTTATGAGCATAAGACTGCTCAAAGATGGTCTGTTTGTTGGTGATAATAGTAATAATGGAGACATCTAAAATATTGCTTTTTTCATGTCAATTATTTCATAAAAATATATGTACTTCAAATAAGAACTTTACTTCTTTTTTGTTTTGAGATACTTACACTTCAATGGCTATGATGATGCATCTTAGCATTGATTTTATTGACAAAATGTTTTCTTCTACTCAAAATTTTATTAGGGACTCCGATAAAATGATTTTTGAGCGTCTACAAAGGGAATTTGAAGCTGCACGTGCTTCCCAAACTCAAGGTAGGTTTAGTTACAATTTTAGTTTCCTTCCTATGTTGTTGTAAATTTGGTTGTGCTAAGATGATTTTCTCTAATTCACAGAAGTTTGCTTAGATAGGGAACAGTGGAATGATGGGTTATTGGCAACAATAAGAGAACGGGTCTGGTTTTCTTTCTTTTTCTTTGACACAACTGATCTTTCTTTTATATTCTCTTGACATTCGGATAATTTTCTATTATACTGTGGTTGCTAATTTTCATCTTAAAACAACCAAAAATTGATGTCGGTACTGTTGATATCACTTCTTTCAGTACCTTCTGATGCAAATTAAGCTTCATGGTTTGCTGCTTCTTAAAGCAGTCTATTTGGGGAAGATCAGAATTTCTGTAATGCTAGCTTTGTTTAGTATTGGAGATGATTTCATACTTCTATCAGGTTCATATGGAGGCTGAAAGAAAGGCGATGCAGTCACCTCTGGATGCAAGCATGCTGCCAATCACTCTGTTTCATGACAAGATTACATATAAAGTTGGAACCAAGGTATTAAATGTGTAAAAGCTTAAAACAGCCATGTTTCTTTTCATCTCAAGAGATGGAGAGGGAAAGAGAGAGAATCAGTAACAATGACCAAATAACTGCTTTATAAAATATCTTGTGTTGAAAGGTGCAACACTCATTTATGTGTTGTTATGGCACGTAAGAAACAGGTGGAAACTGCTCTTTATGCTTTAAAAAAATCTGTACTTTATGCAATTCATTCATAAAATTGCATGTGTTATAATGGCTTTCACTTTCCCCTTTACATGCTATTTGCCTATATATATATATATATATATATTATTGGTTAACATCAAAAGTAATTTTGAGCAGGTGATATGTTGTTTGGAAGGAGCACGCATTGGCATACAGTATGAGACATCTTTTGCTGGTAAATTGTGAACCTACAATTCTTTTTTAGAATGTAAGTTGGTCCTTGATTTTTTACCTGTTGCTTGTGTTTTGAACTGATCTTAAACAGTAAAAGATATCATATTGGTTTGCCATACACATTTGTTCATTTGCAATGCTGTTATTAAATTTAAAGCCTATTCAACCATTGCATATGCTTGGTGGTTACATGGGTTTTCAATAAAGTAACTTCACATCAGTTTTGGGTTATTCGGTTCAGTTATCGGATTAAACTGAATACTACTTTTACTTTAATAAGGTTTGTTGAACAAAGTTTGTTTGTTTTCTTTCCGAAAATTTTGTACACGAATGGTGATAAGTTATGAAAGATGAAAATGAATATTTTGAATTTCAAAGAGAGTTTATGACTATAAAGTATAAAAAGATAATTTCTATTGGCTTATTCGGTTTAACCAAATTCATAAAAGACCAAACCAGACCAAGTAAGGCTATTCTTATTAAGTTAACCAAACCGTTTAACCTGAAAACTGAATAACCTGAATTTTGTGGGTTATTCATTCAACAATTGACCCATCTTTTGTAGATACGAGATTACGGATTAAATTTTTTTATTATAATCCTAAAATTTGAGATGAAGCTGGAAAAGCATATCGTTTAAAAGGGTTTTGCCAACCTCGACACATGAAGTTTCACTCTTACATGTATTTTTGATAGTCATTTCATCAATATAACATCTTTGCATATTTGCATAATATTTGCATAATTAAATTAGGCTCACCCTCAATTAAATTAGTCCCTGTCCATGTATGTACCATTTAGAATTTTCTTGGCAGTACATGTATACTTTTTCAATCCCTTCTTCTTTCATGGTATTAGAACCACAACCCCAGATGTTTGCATTATCCCTAACGCCGCAGCCACTCTGGCTTCTTGTTGCCGATGTTATTGCATCACATTAATAGGTTATGCCTTGTCTCCATCGAAGTCGAGAAATCCTGTTTAATCTTGGTTATTTGTTTGATTGTTGTTTTCTTTTGTCATCTTCTGCTGCCAATAGAAAGTATGAACGATGAAATGGCTCTTTGGGATTGTTGTTACCTCGTCTAGGGTTGCTGGCAATTGTCAGAGTTCTTGTGTTGCCTTCTTCGGCTTTTGGGGTGGTTGTGAGGTGTATGAGTTGTGTGACAATATGCTTAGAAGTTCCTTGACTTTTTCTTGCTATTACTGTCTTGGCCTTTGTGACTATTTGGTGGTGTGATGTCGGGAATAGCATATGTGTCTAGGCCCTCTGGCAATATTGTACTTGGTTCTCTCTTAGGATGCATGTTTGTTAGGTTATTTGTTTGTTTAAAATTGTTCCTCAAGCTAAATGGTCAGTTGATTTGGGGGCTTCTGATGTAAACTGACAGCAATTGTCGGTTGTATATTGCAATCAAAACAGAAAAAGGATGATTCCAGACTTTCGAGAGGTCTGGTTCTCTCCCAAAGAGTTTACACTCACTTTGAAAATATCAAAAACAGAATATCCCAACTACTAACAACCCAGCTCCACTTAAAGGAAACTTGCCGCCTTATTCTACCCAAGAGTACCAAAAATACCCTTCACTTATTTACAATAACAGCTAAGACCCTTTACCCACTAACCCCTCCTCCTGTAAGTGAAACAAATAGGAGGTTTATCAATACCTCCCTCCAAAGCTTTCACCTTGTCCTCAAGGTGACTGTTGGGAAACTGCTGCATCAAGGCTTCTAAATTTTCCCAAGTAGCTTCAAAATCTGGTAACCCTTTCCATTTAACCAAAACTTCTAAGCTTCCTGGATCACCTTGCACGATTGCTTTTGTATCTAACAAAGATTCAGGTTCCACTTGTAATACCAATTCTTCAGTCAATTGAGCTGGAATGTCTTTTGATGATGCGCAATTTCCCACAGCTTTTCGAAGTTGAGATACATGGAAAACAGGATGTATCTTCGCCTCCTTTGGTAAATCCAAACAATAAGTGACTTTACCAATCTTCTCCAACACTTTATAAGGGCCATAGAACCTTGCTAACAATTTTGGGCTGTTCCCTTTAACCAATGATTTCTGTCGGTATGGTCTCAATTTCAAGAACACCCACTCACCCAAAACCAAATCCAGCTCTGTTCTTTTTAAATCGGCACGTTGCTTCATTCTACATTGGGCTTTCAAGAGATGCATTCTTACTTCATCCCATATTTCATCCCGATTCGTCAATTCGATATCGACCGATTGGACTATAGAAGAGGAACTCTTATATCTCAACAAAGGGGGTGGATCTCGGCCATATAACACCTTGAAAGGAGAACATTTAAGGGCTGTATGAAAAGCTGTATTGTACGATAATTCAGCCCACGGTAACCATCTACTCCACTGACGCGGTCGATCTGAAATCCAACATCTTAAGTATTGTTCCAGCCTCCTGTTGACAACTTCTGTTTGTCCATCCGTCTGCGGGTGGTAGGCGGTGCTGAACTTCAAAGTTGTTCCTTGCAGCTTGAATAACTCTTTCCAAAATATACTTTGAAACACTTTATCACGATCAGAAATTATAGAACTTGGTATGCCATGCAAGCGTACAATTTGACCTTCATTTGTCAACATACAATCCCCAAACTCCACTAACACAGCTTGACCTTCCTGTTGAATTAGTTTTCCCATAGCCTTCAGTGAAACTAAAGATCTACCCAATGTTGGATCACCTTTCAATGCCACCGACTTTCCTCCGACTGTGAACTTCATAACCTGCTGCTTCCAATTGGTATAGGTTGATCCCAAAGTTTCCAACCACTGTATACCCAAAATCACATCGCTATTACCCAATTGAATGGGCAAAAAATCCTCGACAACGTCTAAACTTTGCACCGCCAAAATAACATGTCTACAAATTCCATCTCCTTTCACCTTATTCCCCATCCCCATCATTATCGTATACTCCTTCGTCTGATCGACCTTGAGATTCAATTTTTTAACAATCTCATTCGAAATGAAATTGTGCGTCGCACCGCTATCGATGAGAATTACAACATTTTGGTTTTCAATGAATCCTTCCATCTTCATGGTTTTAGGATTCGTTAATCCCACCACCGAGTTAAGATGAACCTCCACGTCTTGACCCACATCGACCACATCAGCTGCGTTTAAAGTTGTATTTTCATTACTACTGTCACCCGACTCTATTACATCTTCCTCCTGAACCAGCAGAACATTCAATTCTTTCTTCTTACACTTATGGCCCGGTGAATATTTCTCATCGCAACGATAACAGAGACCCAAGGCTCGCCTCTGTTGTACCTCCTGATCGGACAATCTTCTGTATTCAGATCCCATTCTATTTGTCGAATTACCCACCGTATTTGAATTATTCCCTAAATTAGTACTACCGGGGATACTCGTATTAACGGCAAACATAGCTAACGATTTCTTTGATCCAGATATCGACCTTTCTTTTGCAATCACAACATTCTTCACTTCGATTTTTATTGCTAACTCCATCGCTTCCTCTAACGTTACAGGATTTAAGAGACTTACCTTGGCCTTAATTGAATTCTCTAAACCGTTTATGAATCGACTCATAAACACTTCCTCTGGAATTCCTTCTAACGGTGCAGCTAACTCCACGAATTTCATCTTAAATTCCTCTACCGTACCTTCTTGTTTAACAGCCAGAAATTGTTCACATAAAGTTCTTGCCGCCATTGATCGGAATTGACGCAAAATCAATCTACGCAGATCCTCCCAACGTAAAATTGGATGACGTCTATTCTCCCATTGAAACCATTTCAAAGCTGCTCCTTCAAATGCTATGAAAGCAACATCAATTTTTTCTTCTTGTGATAATCGATTCAATGAAAAATAGCGTTCTGCTCTGAGAACCCAACCATCTGGATCGCTTCCGTCAAACGCTGGAATTTCAAGCTTCCGGCCTTTCACAGCTAGGAATTGATTCGATTCCTGTTTTTCATCGTTCCTTCTCTTCGATCTTCCTGAATCGTCCACGTCTTCTCCATCCGACGAACTTGTTGAATTCAATTTACTAGCCACATCGCTGCTTAATTTCTCAATCTGCTGTACAATTCGTTCCAAACTTTTCTCGATCTAACCGACGCTACTTTCTAAATCTTCAATTCTTGTTGCGCACTCCTTGTCGCCATGGCTGGATCTTACCGCTCTGATACCAATTTGATGTAAACTGACAGCAATTGTCGGTTGTATATTGCAATCAAAACAGAAAAAGGATGATTCCAGACTTTCGAGAGGTCTGGTTCTCTCCCAAAGAGTTTACACTCACTTTGAAAATATCAAAAACAGAATATCCCAACTACTAACAACCCAGCTCCACTTAAAGGAAACTTGCCGCCTTATTCTACCCAAGAGTACCAAAAATACCCTTCACTTATTTACAATAACAGCTAAGACCCTTTACCCACTAACCCCTCCTCCTGTAAGTGAAACGAATAGGAGGTTTATCAGCTTCCTTTTTCTTTACCAATTTGCTTGTTAACTTGGTCTCGTACTTTGCTAGTTCTTGTTCATTTTGTTGTAGTATGTTGTAGTTTTGATTACTGTAGGGGTAAAACAAAGAAAGCCTCTAGTGGTACTTGTCGAGCCGATTTTCAATTTGACAATACTTAAAAGATAAAATCCCTGAATTGGACAAAAGGGTCTATGATGTTTTCAAGTCATATTTAGAGGAGTCTGAGATGAACATGTGATTTAGTGGTCCCTTGGTATGAGTGTAGACCATTAACTACAATATTTTTTTGTACCACCATGACTTTTTTGAATGTGAAAGCTCCTTGTCTAGAAGTAACTTAATACTCAAGCTCCATGGGTATGTCACATGCTTATTTGCTTTTTAGGCATGCTCATGGTGCTTACTAAGAGATTCTCCATTATATGTTATTATACACTTCAAACAGCTTGTTAAGGATCTAGCTAACACATTGCTGTTTTATCATGTTAGATGGCATGAGACAAGTATATTACTTGCACATCAGCACACCACGGTGTGAAAATTTTCAGATCCTAGTTATGCATGGTGCGTGTATATAGGAGTTCCACAAAGAGGGAATTTTGTAATCCTGTAGAGTAAGAAGTATGTGGTTCAGTTAGGTTTCGGGTGATCCCTCGTTTAGTTTAAAAGATGTATTTTGATGATCAAGTAGTGGGATGAGAGCCTTGGTTCCCCTTTTACCTAACTTTTCATAATTTCTGTCATCTTTCTCCCTTTGAGGACTCTTGTGGGTTTTTAATGCAGGAAACTCCTACCATATCTTGCATTATCATTATTCCAGTGACATGAATAATCTGGTTGTTTATCTTCTATGCCTATGTGTTCCCTAATTCTTTCAATTGGATGGATATGTGCCTTTTGGCTCTTCACCCGTTCTGAGTTCTGTGTAGGACTACTTGATTTATTTAGGCATTTATCATCAGGAAACCGTCCTTTCCGAATCACTGGTTTCGCTCAACTGTGGTATTCCATATAAACAAGTTCAGAAACTTAGATGCAATTTGTTCTGTACGCATCTTAGGTCATGCTCAGTTTTGGCAGTTGTTTCAGTGGGGTAATTTCTTGGTAGCGGGGATCTTGGTTCTGTTAGTTGGTTATATCTGTTTTTTTTTTGAAGTATATAATATTTATATACGGCAAATGCAACAAATAAACTTATACACCCTCCTCACCGTTGGTGAGGTTTGAACCCTTGACCTCCTAGGAGGCCAAGGACTACGATACCGCTAGGCCGAAGGCCCTTTGGTTAGTTGGTTATATCTGTTATTAGTTTGTAATTTGGCTATTTCATACTGTCTCATTATGTTTGATAAAAAAATTCACTTTTTCAAAGAAAAAGAAACTTAGAAGCTAGAGCGAGAAAAAAATAGCACTGTACTTATTTACTCAGACTGAAATTAGAACAGATGACGCTGTTACCTATATAAAGGGTACGATAAACATTGTTATCATTCCTTAGGCATCTGTAGTAGTATCACCTTGCATATACAGTATAATTTTGTGCTATAAATATTGTGTCATCAAGTCAAGCTTCTGGAGATCGGCTGATACCCTACCATTTTGGTGACCTGACGGGCTTTACGTTTCAATTGTTACTTCCTTCATCTGAAATTTTTCCATAATGAGGAGAAGTCATTTATATTTACTTTGATGGTTTTGTAGGCGAGCCACGTGAGCAGTATCATTGTGTTCTTGAAAGCAAGTCATTTCTCGAGAAGATGACTGTCCTTGAACACACCGTCCCATTTTTTTTGCCTATACGTGAAGCAGAGAATGATCTTTTATCTTCAAATGCAATGGTAACTCTGCTAACACTTAAAAGATAATCCAACTTGTGTTGTTTCTGCGATTTTGTCTTAATACTCGTGTCTGCCATTGTTTTTTCAGAAATTCATAGATCACATTGGAGACCTATTGCAAGCATACGTTGATAGACGGGAACAGGTATTTGTGTTGTAATTGTTAACTGTCTACAGGACATGCAATGTATTATAACCTTTCAGAAGCATACATGGTCAAACTATTTTGTGCTCTGTAGTTTTTTGCTGCATGTTTCTGCACTTGACCTTGCTATATGTCTAATAATGGATGGCTTTGCTTGAATGTAACCAAAGTAAAAAAAACTGGCAATTTAGGAATATTTGAAACAATCACTTCTTGGTTGTTAATTTTAGTTGTCAAAAGGGCTAATCTGGCATGATTTTGTCAAAAGTTGTCAGAGGATAACAAGCCTGCAGGTGTTTGCGATATTTTATGTTGAATAGCAGCTCCTGATTTTACTATTTGGTCGAGTATTTCTTTTTCATTTTCGCTATACTGGCAATGTTCCATGATCTCTTCTTAACCATTTCAACTTGCCTTTCATAGCTTAGTGAGCATTTTACTGTTCTCTATGGCTAACACACCTCTTCTTTTTGCTTTTCTATTGTAGGTTCGACTCATAAAGGACTTGTATGGTAACCAGATTGGAGAACTTTATCACAGCCTTCCCTATCATATGATTGAATTCATCGTAGATGATTTTGATTGGTCTGTACATATTCCACACATGTCCTTGCATGCATAGTGGTTAATGACTATCATACATCTTTGCAAATTTCTTTATGCAGTCGCATTCTAATTGCCCTCTTTTTCTATCATTTTCTTATTTTCACTTAAATGGTAGTTTCTAATACAATGTAGTCGTAGACATTCACTACACCTGGTTTATTGTGTTTGGATTTGAAGTGATGTAATTTTAAGGTCTCAGATTAAGTGAGCATAAATTCCACATGTGAGAGAAAATTTGGAAGATGGTTCGTAGGGGATAGTCAATTATTTGCTACCATTGAAAGAATTTAATCTGAATCTAAGCCACGTTTGTATCTTTCAAAATTTAGAAAGCTATAATGAAATTTAGATTTGGACACAAAGCTTCAAGTATATAGGGATACCCTTTTAGGATGCAAGATTCATGTTTAAATGCATCCCTCTACTCTGTGCATCTACTACGCAGACATATCTCTATCACATGCAATACTTGGATCGTCATGCTGTTTCTGTCATCACTCATGTTGTTAAATTTCTCTTGCTTTTCATATCGTTTTGAGAAAACGAAAGCAAAAAAGTCTAAGTAAGCCCAGTACTGACATGTTTTTTGCCTTAGGCCATGTTTGGCAACCATAAGCTGGGGCCGTTTACCAAACGCTTATCCGGGTAAGCACGCTTATCAAGTTTAGTTACCTCACCGGATGAATATGGTAGGGACCAAGAATCTTACCCGGTAAGAGCGAGACAAGGACGAGTCTTAACCGGTAAGTGAGGGCGACGACTCTTACCACGGTAAGCGCTTACCGGGTAAATTGTTGCATACGATGTCGTTTTGGTGGACTAAGATCTTACCCGGTAAGTAAATAATAGTGTTAGATTTTACCGGTAAGCACTTACCGGGTAAGTGTTTGGTAAACGGCCCCTAACTTATTTTTTGAGCTTATTGAAAAAGCCTCTTTTGGTAACCCATAAGCTACTTCAGATTGCTTATTGGCCTTTCTTTTTCCAATTATGTCCCTATATTTCACATAAATGCCCCTTGTAATTTCTTTTATAGGTCATTTTATATTGTCATCTAGCTTATCCGCTAGCTTTTACCAAACTAGATTAGTTTTTGTATAACAGTGGCACTCTTTCTTGCAGCAAGGTAACAGTCAGTCTTAGGTATGCGGATCTCTTGTCTATACTTCCAACTGGTATCAGCGTTGTGGCGTGGCCCATGAACCAATCAAAAAAGTCCCCATCTGGGGGCAGAAAAGGGAATGTAGCATTTGGAAGCAACACTAGTCCTATGCGTTTATCCTACGCAGAAGATGCATTACGCACCCTTAGTTTGCCAGAAGGTTATATTCTCTATCCTTACTTTATCAAATAGATGATGAACTCTTACCTCACCGTAAGTACTTGCCAAGCAACCAAATGGTCATTGGCCTGCGTTACAGGCAGAGCCCAGTCTCCTATGATATCAAGAGTTCATACCTCACCATAGGTGAGGAGGGTGCGTGAGTATTTGCCGATTATAAATATTATATACTTCAGAAATAAATATTTGCCAAGCAGCTTGCGTCAATATATTTTTGTGAATAGTATTTGTGGGTTTAGAAGTCATCACTTAAGCAAGAAAAAAGAAAGAAAGAGTTGAGACGTGCATTGATTATTTTTTTTGTTTGTTACTACCTCTGTCCCATGGAAAATGGTCTGAAGTCATCAAATCTAGTAAGCTTTTTCCTTCAATTTTACTAGAACTAGTTATCTCATGCTGGGCAAATTGCATGAAAATGCAACATACTTGGTCTGATTCCTATTTTATGTAACATACTTTCAAAACCTTGCTTTTGGTACCTCAAATATGATACCTCGAACATTTAGGTACAAAGCTTACATATGAGAAATGCATGAAAATGCAATGTACTTTGGTGCAATTCCTATCTTGTGTAACGTGTTTTGGTCTAAATGTTTGACATCTCACGTATGAGGTATCAAAATGAAGGCTTTGAAAGTAAGTTACACAAAATAGGAATCTGATCAAAGTAAGTTGTATTTTCATGTAACTTTCCCTTTCATGTTAACTATTTGATAAATAGATATGATCCTTTAATAAGTAATCCAAAAAAATCCGAAAGAAAAAGAGGTTTTGCTGCAATTTGAACTTGAAAGCAGTTTTTGATATCTAAAATCAAAAGTGGGAGCTTTCTTGTGGATTGAGATGGTATAAATCTTTCTTCTGTGCTTAATTAGGCTGCTTTTTATGTTAATCGTCAAAATAAGAAAGTGATTGTGATCGTGATCATCATATAGGGGTAGGCTCGATACCATACCGGTTTACACTTTCAATATGCACCTGCACTTCCACTTTATCATTTCAAAAGCAAATTAGACGTATGTACTGTTAAGTACTATAATATTTTTATATATGGCAAGATTCACACACTTCTTACCTTTGATGAGGCTTGAACCCTCGACCTCCAGGGAGGTTGGAATCTAGCGGTTACCTAGATACTTCTAGGCTAATGACCCTTTGAAAAATTAATTATCTGTTTTTGAAGTATATAAAATTTGTATACGGCAAATTAAATCACACTAAATTCTCACCTTTGGTGAAACTTGAACCCCTGAACTTCAAGAAGCTCGGGTTATCTAGTATCGTTGGGCCAATGGCCCTCTGGCAAATTAGTTAACAAGTTGGTGGTGAGTTGTGACTGATATCCTTTGATTCCTTTCCCTTATGGTGGTTTAGCATATGCGGAGATCGTGTTGAATCTTCCAGAGGCTCTCGAACAAAATGTTCAACCGAAGGACCCTGGTTTGGCTTCTGCCTGAAAAATGAAGTTGGAAGTGTACAACAAACAACATATAGAGTAACTACTCTTAACATTTTCAACAGATGTAGATGTTCTGTAAATGGAGGAGTAGGTTATGAGCAATTGGTGCATTTATTAGATTCTGTATTGAATTGGGATATGCTATTTGTACAGTTCAGTTTATGAATGTAGTTGTAGCTAGAGATGGGCATCCTTAACTGGCTCAAGGGACCAGTTATGGCTGAAACAAGATACAGGGTCGGTTAGCCTCAACCGGTTATGGTTCTTCATTTTTTAGCATTTGGTTATCAACGGTCTATCAGTGCTACCTTATTTAAGTTACAGGGGTTGAATCTAGATTCTCTTTAGAGTTTTTGGTGTTATTGGCCAATGGTAGAGCTGTTGACATACTCTTTTTTTTTTTTTTGTCGTTTTTCGGACTATTTGATTGTTTTTCCATTTACCAAATTGTCATTCGATTATTTACAAAAATATATATATTTAAAAAGAAAGAAATTAGTTAAAAACAATGTTACAAGAAAATAGTTATAAAAGAGGGTGTACAGCGATCTAAAGGGAGGGTTCAACTGGTTATGGTAAATTACAGTTTTTTACTTGTTTAGACCGGTACCTGTTACCGAAGGATTGGTCTTAGGACCGACTGTTTAACCGATTTTATCCTTTAGTGGAATCGGTTTTTTGGGTTTAAAGTCTCTTTGATTACGTTGATGTTTGAAAATAACGAACGTGGTCTTCAACCGTAACACTTGTAGTACGATCATAAACTAATCAATGTGTTATTAGACTGTAAATGTAATGATCAAAGGGCCTTTGGTCTAGGTATCTAGACCTTTGGCAAGGGAGAGAATGGTGGGAGTTTATATGATATATATATATATATATATATATATATGGGCCTATTCAAGGGAGAACTGAGTTGTTTGTGGTAACTGTGAGAACCAATATTAACCACGAACCAATAGATAAATTAGGAAATTTATAAATTTGGTAATTTTAAATTAAAATATTAATACAAGGATATTTTTGGTATTTTAAAACTCTCCTCTCTCCTCTCTTCTCTCTTCGGCCTCCGGCCACCGTCCTCCGGTGATACCACTATGATACTACTGTGATACCTAAAAATATTGACTCTGTTAAACAAAAGATACATTGTGATACTTAATCATATATAAGATGCATAGTGATACCACTGTGTTACATCTTCGATCGACCACACAAATGACATCAATGTGATACCCAAGCACATATATGATACATTGTGATACCATTGTAGTATCACCGGAGGACGGTGGCCGGAGGACGGTGGCCGGAGAGAGAAGAGAGGAGGGAGGAAAGTTTTAAAATGCTAAAAAATATCCTTGCATTAATATTTTAATTCAAAATTGCCAAAATTATAAATTTCCTAATTTATCTATTGATTTGTGGTTAATATTGATTCTCACAGTTACCACAAACTAATTAGTTCTCATTTGATTAAGCCCCTATATATATATCTATACTATATTATAAAGTATTTGATAAAAACTCTTAAAAATCATTTTTTATGCATGAAGTACTGTTTATTGATTTATAGTACTAAAAATTTAAGATTACAAGTAATTGTGTGTAGGTACAAATTATTAAAGTTTCATGTTTGAATTTGTGTAACTAACAGCAGATAAATATAATCAAATAGAGGATAAACATCTCATTTTAAATATAAATCAAGATGTATCTTGCTGCATTGTGCGAGTACCCTTCTAGTCTATACTATATGTATAAGTAGCTTAAACGTTTAAAATTAAGAAGCATCGTTTATGCATCATGTACAAGTTATGAAGCTAAACACCACCAATGAAACTTCCAAGATAATATTAAAATCAAATTTTTTTTGCTAATTTTTTAGTTACATTTTACACCCTTATAGTTAGTTATTTAATTTACTTTATATTTTTTTTCATTTTTCATTTTTCATTTTTCATTTTACACATTATCATATCATCATTACAAAATTGTATATTAACTAAAATATATTAAAAAAATACGTTTCACTTTTTACAAATTATACTATTATAATCGTCTTATTAGTGCCTTCAGAATGAGTACAATATTGAATATTTTTTTGATTTAATCTCATATCTATACTATATTATAAAGCATTTGGCTAAAACTTTTAAAAACTCTTAAACTCTTAAAACTTTTAAACCCTTCATCCCTAAACAATTTCATCCATATCCGATTTCATCCCATAACTGAATTCGTGTAACTAACTGCAGATAAATAAAATCAAATACAGGATAAACATCTCATTTTAAATATAAAAAATCTAAAATATAATTAGAATAATCATTGAGTGCCAACAGAATATTTAATTATCATATTTATAAATTATTATATTATTAAACCAAAAATAAATTATTTCATTATTAAACTTAAATTAAATTATAATAAAAAAATAAATTAAAGAAATTACATAAAAAATGAA